CTCCAGCTTAAATAGAGTAAGTTAGGACCCAGATGATCTTAGATACTCAAACTACTTACTTTCTTTTTTCTTTTTGAGACAGGGTCTTACTCTGTAGCTCACGGTGACCTTGAATTCTTGATCCTCCTCCCTCAGTATCTAGAGTACTGGGATTATAGCTATGTGCCACCATGCCTGGCTATTCAACCAACTTTAACTTATTAATTCATTCAATAAATATTAAGTATTAACTATGTTCTAACATTTATTTTCAGAACAGGTCTAGAGCTAGTTCTCATGAAGCTTATTCTCTAGTGAGAGAGGACAGCTTATAACAAATAAAGAGAAAAGAAAGTCTTGGTTTTTTTTTCCCCAGGCTGACTTGGAACCATGATCATCTGATCTCAGCCTCCCAAGTAGCTTCGGATGGCAGGTATGCACTACCATGTTCAGCTATTGAAGAAATTCTAAATGAATAGTAAATTTACTTGTTATTTTATTAAAAGAGAAGTTTTTAAGTAGGTATGGGTAATATTTCCTGAGTGATAGGCTGGAGGCTTAGCTCAAGTGATGGAGTACTTCCTCCCAAGTGCAAGACCCTGCATTCAAACCCCATATGTGTACTGCCAAAAACAAACAAAAAACCTCAGCTGAGTGATACATGACATGTACTAAGCTAGAGAGCTTTGCATTGAATTCTCACAACAACACTGAAAGGTACATATTATTATCTTTTTCTTTTAGATGAATAATTTGAATAAATCAAGACTCTTAGTAGTAAGGAATATGCCCAAGTTCCATTGATAAAACTAGCTAGGCTGGCATGGAAGCCCGGACTATTTGCTGAGCTGCCTCTCCAAGATGGTGTCATTGCAAATACCTACCTCTGATTTCTTTGGTAAACTTGACACGCTGGGAGTCGGTTAGAGGTTTGGTCTGTTCATTAATGTTCTGAATGTCTAAAACCTCACACATGAACTCAATGATAGGCTGAGCCCGGTAGAAAGCAGTTGCAGATACTAACAAACAGAGAGGAAGGGTACTTAGCTTCAGGGTAAAGGGAAGGACCAAGAAACCAACAGCCAAGAGTTAATGGGTAAAGACATTCTAGCCTACCATCAATATTGAGCATCATGTTCCACATAGCAGGTCTCACGGACTGATGAAGCCAACCCAAACTTCTCTGCCCCCTCCCAGAGGGTGGTAGTAACTTTCAGGAGGTGAGAAAAAAGAACGGCCCACCGGAGTATACCTGAAGAAACATGTTTGCACTCTTCACAATAAACTCTTAAATGGTCTTTCACTTCATTTTCAAATTTACAAACTGAAACCAAGTTTGAACTATGACTAATGCAGAAACCTTCCAAATGGTTAAATACAACCTACCACAAAGTCTGACATTTGTGGGAAAGGATCTAAAGCAAGGTACTAACCTCATAGAGGGAAGATGCCTTGTGATAACATCAAGTGCTTGTACTGAATCATCTGGGACTTCATTCAAGTGCCCAGCTAAAGCTTCTAAAAGCAACTGAAGACTTACAACTGATACCCATTGAACAGATACTTTGAAGGTTTGGTCTTTACCCTCGCCTGGAAGGGTTACCTCCATGTCAACCTAGGGGAAAATATAAACATATGTGTTTACAAAGGCTGTGGGAAAGATCCCAAGAATATCCAATATGGTATATGCATAAGGATGTTTATCTTAACAGTATCTGCAATTTCAAAACATTGGAAACAACATAAATATCCATAAATAGGAGAAGAATTTAATATGGAATATTGGTTTTGGTGGAACTGAGGTTTGAACTCAGAGCTTCATGTTTGCAAAGCAGGTACTCTGCTGCTTGAGCCATACCTCCAGTCCAATATGGAGTATTATTCATTAGTTAAAAATAAGGTAGATGCTACAACATGGATGAACTTTGGAAAACTTATGCAATGTGAAATAAACAAGAAGGATAAATACTGTATGGATCTACCTATGAGGTACATAAACTAGTCAAATTCATAGAAACAAAAAGTAGGATAGTGGTTGCCATGGGCTGGGGCAACAAGGTATGGGAAACTATTGCTTTGTGGTACAGAGTTTCTGTTAGAGATAATAAAAAACTTCTGGAACCTGGAGTGGTAGCACACAACTATAATCCTAGCTTCTTGGGAAGCTGAGGCAGGAGGATTGAGAGCTTGAGTCCAGCCTGGCTACACAGTAAGACACTGTCTCAAGAAATGAACAAACAAAATTCTAATACTTGCATCATTTTTGTTGTTGCTTGTTTGTGTTACTGGGAATTTAACTCAGGGCCTCAAGATTGTTAAGCAAGTGCTCTAACATGCCCCCAACCCTTGTGTTTTTATTTTGTTTTTGAGATAGGAACTTGAGATCCTCCTTCCTCTTCTTCCTCAGTAGCTGTGATTACAGATACACACAACTATACTCAGCTCATCTCATGTTCAATTATCAGTTAACTAAAAGCAATAAATATGGAAGAATAACAAACCTATCATCACTATGAAAAACACTAAGAACTGAAGTGTTACTAGAAAGAGAAACATTTTGTCACATGTAATTACTACTGAATAACCTAAGTATTTCTTGCTGGTAACACTTACCCTATCCCGTCCAATTGGCAGTGGGTGTGCAGTGTACATGTTTCTTTTGCCATCATACCCAGGCTGCCGATCACCAAATATTTGCATCTTGAAGTGCCGCACCATTGTGTCTACTACCTCCCTTAACAGTAATGGAGATAGTGGTGGTTAGCTTTCAGAAACGGTGAACCATAAGGAAAGTATTACCATACCTTAAACATCTCAATTCAGTTCAATACACTGGGAAAAAGTAAGAATCAAGATTGTAATTGATTTAAGTAATTAAAAATTAGATAACTAAAAAAAGGTAGCAGCACGTGAACAAAAGTAACTATAAGATGATAACAGAAGGAAAGAGTATGATATTGATGTCATCCTCTCAAATTCCTCTCTCCAAAAACCTCTCCTATCCAGCCTTATGAGAATAACCTGGGCGAAGTATCTAAGTTTAGCATTGATGTTCATCACCAAAGGATAAGTTTCTTATGGCATCAACATCCTTATTCAAGAGTACTGGTTTTGGAAAAGAGAAAGGAATTCAGAAGTCTGAGGATCAACATATCTAAGATGCATGATATTCAATGAGTAACTCTACCCTTTTGTCTAATACAAGTTTTATTGTTTTGGGTTTTTTTTTTTTTTTTTTGGTAGTACAGGGGTTTGAACTCAGGGCCTCATGCTTGTTTGTCAGGTACTCTACCACTTGAGCGACTCCACTATCCTTTTTGTGTTGGGTATTTTCAAGATAGAGTCTCTCGAACTATTTGTCCAGGCTGGCCTCAAACCACAATCCTCCTGATCTCTGCCTCCCTAGTACTAGGATTACATACATGGTCACCAGCACCTGGCTGGTGCTAGTACTAGATTTATTATTCTTCATAATGTCTTGTTTTATTCCAAAGAGCTCCCAAGTAGGAAGGGAATTCCCAACAGGGGACTATTGTAAAATATTCTTATTTCAAACAGATTACTGATATAGTTACTTTCAGAACAAAATTCTTTCTTTCTCTCAATCAAGCATGCAGAGTTTTATTTCAGTGGTTTTGCAAATATGCCAGGTTACACTGTATGCAGACCCTGAAATAAATGCAATGGCAAGGAAATTGGAAGGTGCAGTTTAAAATATGGGCAGATTTGGGTCTGAGATTTTTGAATGGTACAGTTAATGAAAAGTTAGGAACATTGTCTTATCAGTATTCGTGAGCTCCACGTGTGAGGACTATCTCCTAGCCAAAACAGCTAGATAATGCATCAATACGACTGCAACAGAAATCTTTGGGAAAATCACATTTACAAACCATATCATGCAACTAAAAAAGATGGATGGGGAAATATATCATATATTCCCCACTTTAAAAAAAAGGCTAACTTAAGAACTATACATTCTTTTCGCTAGAAAAGGATAATTTTTCATCTTACATTCTTTTTGGCACGAATGATGTTTGAACTCAGGGCTTCACACTTCTGAGGAAGGCACTAAACTGCTTGAGCCACTCCACCAGTCCTCATCTGATATTCTTAAATTATGACCTTAAAGTGAAATATTTTTCCCTCTATTGTCATTTCTCTTCTTCTTCTCCCCTTCTTCCTCCCTCTCTCTCTCAAAATTTATCTATTTATTTTTTAATCTTAGTATGTTTATTTGGGGGGATTTATTTTAAATCTGATGCACTCTATAGTTTTACCATGTGTTTTTTTTTAAACTTTTGATTAGTATATGATAGTTGTACAGGGAGTTTTGTTGTGACATTTCCATGTATACACATGTTGTACCCTGATTTGGTTCACCCCTTCCTTTATCCTCCCTCTTCCCCCACTTCCCTTCTTAAAATGACTTCAACAGGCTTCAATGTTCTATATTCATACATGTTTGGAAAGTACCGCAACCATATTCCCCCTCCTGCTATTCCCTCCCCTTAACAAGACCTGTTTTACATTCCTGTCCTTTATTGTTTAAGTGTCTGTTCATTGTTCCATGGAGTTTTCCCTTGGTTTATTTATTTATTTATTTGGTTGTTTGTTTATTTGTGGTGCTAGGGATAGAACCTTACACATGCTAGGCAAGCAATTTACCCTTGATTGTAATTTGAACATCACAAGATCCTTGAGATAAGCAGGGCAATGATCATTGTCCTCAAAAAAGAAAATTCAGGCTGGGGAATAACTCAGAAGTAGAGCAAGGCCTAATATGCCTAAGTCCCTGGGTTCAATCCCCAGTATGGCAAAAGGATAAAAAAGAAAGAAAAAATTCAGAATGGCAAGTGAATTATCCCTGGTCACTTGATGATTAACTGGCAGAACTGCATGGCCTTGGACAAGTGACTAACTCTTTCACATATCTATTTTTTCATTTATAAAATTATGATACAATAATAGCACCTACCTCAAATGGTGGTGACACTAAGCAAATAGATACACAAATATTTAGAAATGTGCTTGTCACACAATAAGCCTACTGACTGACCTGCTCACGAATATCCTTCCAGGAATTTCTCTTTCTCTTAAAGCATCAGTTTTTCTCTTTGATTATTCTCTTCAGCATACAAATACTCATAATTTCTCTTATCTTAAAAAAAAATGAATTTTCGACCAGGTGTCAGTGGTTCATGCCTATAATCCTACCTACTCAGGAGGCAGAGATCAGCAGAATCACAGTTCAAAGCCAGCCCAGGCAATAGTTCATCAGACTCTATCGTGAAAAAAACCCATCACAAAAAAGGGCTGGTGGGGTGGCTCAAGCTGTAGGCCCTGATTTCAAGCCCCAGTACTAAAAAAAAAAAAAAAAAATTGAACTTTCTTAGTTGGAAGCCAGTGGCTCATGCCTGTAATCCTTGTTACTTGGAAGGTTGAGATCAACAAGATCTCTGTTCCAGGTCAGTCCAGGCTGCTGAGACTTCATTTCCAAAATAATCAGAGCAAAACGAACTAGAGGTATGGCTCAAGTGGTAGAATACCTGCTTTGCAATGTGAAGCCCTGAGTTCAAACCCCAGTTGTATCCTCCCCTCAAAATTAAACTCTCTTGACCTAACTTTCTCCTCTTCTGAACATCCTCTTTCTCTGTTTTTTTGTTTTGTTTTGTTTTTTGTGGCACTGAAGTTTGAACTCAGGGCCCCATACTTGTTGCTAGGCAGAAGCTCTACCACTCGAACTACTCCACCAGCCTCCTCACTACTCCTCTTGGTATCAAAAGCTTATGAAGGAGTTACTCTTCCCTTTCTCTTTCAAACCTTCTCAGTTGAATCTTTTACCAAAACTCCTCTTACCAAGGTCCCCAGTTAGCTCCACATTGCTGAATTCAATGATCCTTGAATATTTCATAATACATCTTTCCAACTTAAAATTTCTTCCTTCACCTCCTAGGCACCTCTTTCCTGACTTTCTCCTATCCCACATGCATTCTCCTTGCTGATACTCCCTCATCTCCTCAATCTTTAAATATTAGAGTGCCTTGGGGCTCAGTCTTGGAGTCCTATTTTTCTCTACCACTCTGTCTTCCTACATGGATCTCATCCAGTCTCATGGCTTTGCCACCAGCATGCTCATGACTCTCAAATGTCTCTCCAGCACAGATGTCTCTTGTGAATTCAATCTCATATATTCAACTTCCTGCTCAGCAGCTGCATTAGCATGTCTAGAATAGCTCTCAAACTTGACATGTTCAAAACACATGGTATATGTCCCAACATGCCATCCCTGTAGGTTGCTCAGAGTCTTCCCCAGCTGATAAATGGCAACTCCTTTTCCACTTGCTTAGGACAAAAGCTCTGGAATTAATCATGACCTATTCCTTTCTTTCACACCACTCCATATTCAACCACCAGTAAATCTTACTGATATTACCTTCAAAGCATTTTCAGAATCCGGGACTAGATGGGTGTAGTTCAGTGGCAGATAATACTTATCATGCATGAAACCCTGGGTTCAATTCCCAGCGCAAACGAAAATACTCTGATCACTATTACTTATACTACCCAAATCTCAGCCACCATCACTTTTCACCTGAATCATGACAAGTGTCTCCTAATTGATCTCCCTGCTTTTCACCCTTCTTTGATAGGGTCCACTTTCAACATAGCAGCCAGAGCAATCCACCAAAAATCTTAAGCTAGCAATGAAACCCCTCTGTATAGTTAATATATACTAAAAAAGGATAAAAAGAAATAAATCATGTTATATGTTTATTCAAATCCCATTTCACCAGAATAAATGATAAATGCTAAAATGCCATGACTGCCTGCAAGACTCTGCATGATAAGGGGCTTTCTGGAGTTTCTCTAATCTCATCTCCTATCATAGGTTTACATGCATATATACACATATATATGAATATATAATGAATATATCTCAGTGGCCACCCCAACCTATTCTTCTTCCCTCCCTGCTTTGTTTGTTTATTGCCAGGGCCAGGGATCAAACCTAGGGCCAATGCATGTAGGCAAGCACTCTACTACTGAGTTACATCCAGCCACCATTCCTGCTTTATTTTTCATCACACTTACCTCTAATCACCAACTAATAAAAGTTATCTTTTGTTTGCTTATTTATCTAGTTTTGGTCTTTTCCATTAGAATGTAAACTCCTCAAGGGTTCAAACTTTTTATTTTATTTATTTATTTATTCATCCTTAACAGTCTAGAGGTCATTTAATTCCTTATTTTTCCCTATGTAGTGTGCTTCTCTGGAAGGAGCAGGCTGATGCTTCAGCTGAACCCAGGGACCTTTCTCTTTCGCTTCCTTCTTTTTCTGATGATTTTCTTTCACACATTTTCAACAAGCTATCTCAGCTTTTAGAGTGCTTAATATGCTCTATATACACCCCAGTTCTCTTGACAAGAACCTTATCCTTGTTTGCTTACGACAATGCCAACAGCATGGTGAGTGCCACTGCAGACTCTTCCGGTTTGCCATGGTAACAGCTAGGGGTGTTCCTTTCAGAACAGCACCTATTCCTCTAATGTCTCAAATATCACCTTTCCCATGGATTCACATGTATATGGCCCAAGGAACAACTCCATGTTTTCACAAAGGCCTAGAAAACATATATAGGGTACCTCTTCTCTTTCTCTTTGTGTTCATCGTTTTGGTGAATTAAAGGAAGGTGTTGGTTCCAGCCAAAAGGCAAGAATAGATACTTCTGCTTGCTTATTTTGTTAATGTCACATTCCCAAAGCAAATAACAATACGTGGCACATGGTAAGCACTTGACATAGTATTTGTTGAATGGATTGAAGTTAAGCCATTGTATGTATGTATGGAAATATCACAATGAAACCCCTTCATACAATTGGTAACAAAATATAAATACATAAATAAAATTCTAAGTGACAGGAAAGAGAGGGGGAAAAAAATCAGAGTTAGCCATTCTAACCACTTCTGCTGTGACTGATCTCAGTTACACCAGCCAAATAATTATAGGCTTACACAACACCGAACTATACCAGAAAGCCAAATTCTTGCTCTAGAATGAGAAAAAAAAAATCAAGTAGCACAAAATAGTTCACTTGACAATAAGAGCTTTCTTAGGAAAGCAAGCATCTTAATATCAAAGACTGAGTATCACTGCATGGCAATAGAGAAAAGGAAAATGAGTGTAAACTTACTTTTGCTACAGGCATATCTTCATAACTGGCAAATTCCTGCTATACCAACTACAAAATTTATATCACCTCATTAGGTCCCCTCTTGGATAATGCTAGAAATAAACAGAGCTTTTCTCTCTGCTTATTTTTTTTCAGTACTCCAAGACAATTTTTTACATCTCTTACATATTTCTCATGTCCAATACCAACACTTAATAAATAAGATTTGAATTTCTAGAGAGTTCCATTTCCCACAGACATTAATGCCTTCATCTATTTTTATAAACTCCAGTACCCTTGATCATTGAAGAGTAAACTTTCTTTTCTATTCAATATATATTTTCTGGTTGATCGATGATATATACATCACTCTGACAGAATAACCAAGTAGGATAACTACATAAGAAACTTATCATCTTAGATTAAAACCAAAGCCAAAATGCTGAAAGAATTCAGAGGACAATATGAAACATCATAAATAAGTTATATAAATTATATACACTTAGATATCCAGAAGTCTACTCTTTTTAATCCTTACCTGTTGACTCTACGAGGCCGTTTTTCTGGTTTAATATCCACATCATAGTGATACACATCTATTTTAGGGATCTGAACCTGAAAATGATTGGCTAACAGTCGAATTGGTTTTCCAACAGTTCCAAGACCAGGACGGCGAGGCGGCTGGAAGAGGCTGGCTGGAGGTCCTAAAGAAATGAAAAGACATATGCTGTGCTATTTGGTCATGAAAGAGAATATTCCCTGCATGGAGATAATGATAGCTGGATTATGAGATCTTATTATTCACTGAACATACTCTGATATCTAGATTTCTAAATGTTTCACCATGTTATTATTTTGAATTAGAATTAGCCATCAAAATTAGACAGTGTGATGAGCTCCTCACAGACATATACTATGTGTATAAAATTTTTTATAATCATTAGTACTCATAGCTAGGCTTATAAAATTATATGCATTTAAAAATAAAAGCTAGGGCCAGATGAGTGGCTCAAGTGGTAGAACTCCTAACTAAGCAAGTGTATGGACTTGAGTTCAAACCCCAGTACCACCAATATATACATACATATATAGAGAGATAAATAAATGATATATATATATATATATATGTATATATATAAAACCTAGCCAGGTGTGGTTGTACACACCTATTTTCTCAGCACTCAGGAGGCTGAGGCAAAAAGATCAAGAATTCAAGGGCAGCAGGGCAGCCTGGTCTCCATAGCCAAACTCTGTCACAAAAAACCCAAACAAAAATAAAATAGTTAATTAAATAATAAAAATAAATAACAATTAAAACTAAGGTTGGGGATGTAACTTAGTGGCAGAGTGCTTACTTAACATGCACAAGGCCCTAGGTTGAAATCCCAGCATGAAAAAAAGAAAAGAAAGAAAGTTAGCATGTGCAAGGTCCTAGGTTCAATCCTTACTATCACAAAAATTAATAAATAAAAATTTAAGATAAACTAAAACCCTCTGAACTCTGAGAGCAATCACCTCATAGTTGGAGATGACCCATGTAATCCCCCTATAAATTAGACTTCATTATTATAGGTTGTACAGACATGAGATTGAATAGAAACTATATTTATCACTTTATTAATGTTAATACTGAAACAATATCAGTAAGGCTATACTTTCTACTCTATAATCTCATATTTTTTAGAATTGAGATAAGCTAGCTGGGTACAGCAGTACACAACTGTAATCTCAGTACTTGGGAGGCTGAGGCAGGAGGAGTGTTTGATTCTAACGTGGTCTACACAGTGAGACAAAGGGAAGGGAAGAGAAGGGAGAAATTAAGGAAGGGAGGGAAGAAAAAGGAAGGAAGGAAAAAGGTACAATCTGAGATTTCCTTATCATAAGGTTTAGTTTACTTATTCAATAAACATTGATTCAATTCTCTCTCTCTTTCTCTCTCTCTCCCCCCCTCTCTTTCTTTCTTTTTTGGCAGTACTGGGGTTTGAACTCAGGTGCTTGTGCTTGCTAGGCAGGTGTTTTACTACTCTAGCCATGCCTCTAACCAACATCGATTTATTTCTTTTGCACCTAACCTACATTAGGGACTCAAGAAAAAGGGCCCTTGCTATCAAGTTTACAGTCTAGACCAGTGATCCAGACTGAACATTTGGCAAATACCTGAAACATTTCTGTTTGTCACAACTTGCAGAGTACTAGTAACATCCAATGAATAGGAAGGAACCATTCAGTTCTAAATATCAACAGTGTCCAGGTTGAGAAACCATGAACTAAGCAGAGTAATCTTTTCAAAAATTCTAATGATGATTATTTACAAGATGTTTCCCAAAAAAGAAAGAATGCCAGCTGTGTGCCGTGGCCTGTAATCCTACTCAGGAGGCAGAGATCAGGAGGATCACAGTTCGAAACCAGTCTGTGAGACCTTATCTCAAAAAAAACCCATCACAAAAAAGGGTTGGTGGAGGGCCTCATGGTGTAGGCCCTGAGTTCAAGCACCAGTCCCACAAAAAAAAAAAAATATATATATATATAGGGATATATAGATATGTATCCAATATGAATCAGAGCTGGCAAAATGGCTCAAGTGATAGAGCACTTGCCTAGCAAACATAAAGCCCTGAGTTCAAATCCCAGTACTGCCCCCTCAAAAGGATACCAAAGAAACCTTACATATTCTCTCTCCTCTTAAAATTAATGTATGTTGTCATATTAAATTCTCTAAAAAGTCTAAAAGTAATAAATAAACCTGATTAACTTTAACTCTTCATTTACCCAGCTTATATTTCCACAGGGTATTCTCTTTCCCCAACTCCCTTTCCTCTCACAAAACTGAAAATATATTAATCTTCAGCAGGAAAGGATTTTGTGGAACACAGTCTGGAAGGATATCAAGTAGACACAGGTAAACATCTTTTCTACTATGAATAGGTGTTGAGCAAAGTAGGCTGTGGTTACAATGGAAAGTTACAAGCTCTCTTACTCAATGTCATTTCATTGAGAACAAACTCAGTAAAGAGAGAAAGCTTTGAAGCAATAGGCTGCTCTAGTCCAGCATCATTTTGGTAAACCAGAGGGGGAAAAATTGTTTTTTGGCGGGACTAGAGTTTAAACTCAGGGCTTCGTGCTTGCAAAGGAGGCACACCTCAAGTTCATTTTGCTAGTCCATTTTCCTCTGGTTATTTTGAAGATGGAAGGTCTCACAAACTATTTGCCCAGGCTGACCTCAAACTGTGATCCTCCTGATCTCAGCCTTCCAAGTAGCTAGGATTACAGGTGTGAGCCACTGGCACCCAGCTAATCAGAGTAAATATTTTAATGAAATTTGTGTTGGCAGATAACCATATATAAGAAGTTAAAGTACTGAAAATATTTTTTCATATTAAGTTAATTGTTCGTTTTCCTAAATTCTACTAGCCCTTCAAATCTCAGTTCAGATGTAACCTCCTGGGAAGTCCTCTCCTAATTGTTTCAAGCTGGGAGTTCCACTTTCTGCATTCCAAAACTCTGAACAGGGAAGCGCTTAGCACAAATACAAGGACCATGTTAAACTACCCTGTCTCCTCTACTAGACTTGTAAATTCTTAGGAGCAACGAACTTCCAGTTCATGATTCCCTCAACACCTAATTCAATATCCACTGAACTGAGCAGCACCAATAATCCCAGATAAAGACTTTGTCCCTATTATGCATTTTTGTCTTTTCTGGTGGTACTGGGGTTTGAACTCAGGGTCTCACGCTTGCTAGGCAGGTGCTCTACCACTTGAGCCACTCTGCCAGCCCTTTTTTGTGATGGGTTTTTTTGAGATAGGAGCTCAAGAACTATTTGCTCCAGCTGGCTTCAAACCTTGATCCTCCTGATCTCTGCCTCCCCAGTAGCTAATACAATAAGCCACCATACGTGGCAGCAATTATTTTTCAATAGAGCAAAAGTACGTAATTTGTATATACTAAAACTGTTATGGCTTAGAGTTGTTACACTTTTGGTATACCAGGGGATCTACTCTGGGTGTGATAGGACAATCACAAACAAAGTAAGAAATAAATAACAAATAACATTATAGGTCATACTCAGTCACCACACCTAATCATGTAATAAGTCAGCCATGCATTTTCTAAGCTACATTTCATCAATCATTACAACATAAAATTAGAAGAAATCCAGTTCTATACTAGAACTTGGATCAAAATGACATGCCTAAGAATTTGATTTTTTTAAATTGATATTGGGGTTAGAACTCAGAATCTCCTGCTTATTAGGCAAAAGCTGTACCGCTTGAGCCATGACTCAAGCCCTTTTTTACTTTTTTAGTTATTTTTCAGGTAGGGTCTTAGGTTTTGTGCAGGGCCAGCCTCAGAACACCATCCTCCTTTGTGACCATGCCTGGCTTATTGATTGATACGGTCACAGTAACTTTTTGTCCAAGCTAGCCTTGAACTACCATCCTCCTGATCTCTGCCTCCCAAATAGCTGGGTTACAGGCATGAGGCACCTCACCTGGCCTCTGATTCTAAATAACGAATAGAATCCAGGTCTCCCAGTCCAGTGCATTTTTTTTCCCCAGTAGACTTCACAATCCTATGTATACATACGTATACATTTCTGAAGTACCTAATGTCAAACAGAGAAGGCAGAAATAAAAGGGAAAAACAAGTTGAGGGCTGAGGGTAGCTCAGTGGTAAACTATGTGTCTAGCCTGTACAAGATGAGGTCTGATCCCCAGCACTAATAATAATAATAACTAATAAAAATATAGTAAAATATTGTATTGTCCTTTTCCTTGACAAAAAAGTTAGGTAATGATCATTTCTGATAATAAGCTTAGATTTATTTTAAAAATATATTCAAAAATTTTCATTTCAAAAGCTGATTTCTTTGAGTTGAGCAAACTTCTTTTACTTATTTTTTTGGTACTGAAGTTTGGACTCAGGACCTTTTGCTTGCAGCCAGGTGCTCTACCTGCTTGAGCCGTATCCTCAGCCTACAGCTGCCCTCTTGATGAAGCAATGAAGCTCTGGATTCCAGTCCTGGTTTTACTATTCCTAGCTGCATGGTGTAGGGCCAGATTCTTACTTTCTCTGTGTCGGTTTCCTCATCTACAAAATAAGGGTGTGTGATAGCCGGGTGCTGGTGGCTCACACCTGTAATCCTAGCTACTCAGGAAGCAGAGATCAGGAAAATCACGGTTTGAAGCCAGCCCTGGGCAAACAGACTCTATCTCAAAAAAACCCATCACAAAAAAAAAGGGCTGGTAGAGTGGCTCAAGGTGTAGACCCTGAGTTCAAACCCTAGTATCACATAAAAATAAAATAAAATAAAATAAAAGGTCTAACATGGTGCCTTGCAACAGAAAGTACTCAATAAATATTAGCTATTGTAACACTTGCATAAAGGTTATAGTTAATGCTCAAGCCTCCCTGGGTTTTAAATTGGTGACATTCCCAAAATTTGGTGATAGCCAGAAAATTACATTCTCTGAAAAGAAAACATATGTGATTTAACCCAGAATGCATGAGATGAGTCTGAAATGAGGAGGAGGGCATTAGATTAGGAGTCAGGTGTTCCAGACTCTGGTCCTCATCAGCTTCCAGACCTTGATGAGATCATTCACATCCTCTGACACTCACTTTCCTCATTGGTGAGATGGGACTAAATACTTGCCTACTTCCCAGAGTATGGAAGGAGCTAGTAGTTAGGAAAGCACTTTCCAAACTATAAAGGGCTGGGGTTGGAGCTCAAAGGTAGAGCACTTTTCTAGCATGCATGAGGCCCTGGCATCCCCAACACTGCAAAAGAAAAAAAACTCCAAAAAATTATAATCAATATAACCAAAATAATGGTAATTTCACTAGTTCTATTTCCCAGTTACTGTCAGAAACTGAACCTGAGTGGTAGAAAGGGGCAGAGCAAGACTAAGCAGACGGGTTCAAGTGAAGACAGCACATAACACTAGATCTGGGTATGCTCTTACAGACAAGCAGGAATGTTTCTCTATGTTGTAAAACAATCTGGATGCAACATCCCCAAGACTGTCGACTCCCTTTGTTCTTAGTCCATGCTCAACAAGTAGCTCCTTGTTTAAGTGGATTTCCAAGGTACTGTGACACCAAAACAGGAGTTTGCTAGACACAGTCAGGTAAGTATTACACTCAAAAGAGATCTATGTGACATTTTGGCTTAATTATCAGTGTCATACGTACAGGAAATTAATGTGAGTCAACTCCCTGTATAGCTATCCTTATCTCAACCAGGAACACTTGTTTCTTCCTATTATTGCCTATACTCTCTCTTCAACAAAATTAGAGATAAGGGCAAAATAGTTTATGCTGGGTATTGAGGGGGTGGGGGGGAGAGGGAGGGGGTGGGGGCAGGGGGGAGAAATGACCCAAGCCTTGTATGCACATATGAATAATAAAACAATTAAAAAAATTATTAGTGTCATAAATGTGGTTCATGAGAATGAATTTTCCACAATCTGAACAATCCTGAGTAAGTGATAAATCCTCAAGCCTCCAAAAGCTGAAATCAAACCAAAAGTGTGGCAGCAGCTAATCACCGGGCAGTTCCTGGGCATCACCAGGCTGATCCTTTTCATGAAACTCAACTTGTATACATAGTTACATAGTCTCTTTCCATATCAGCTAATAAATGCAACAATTGCTTCAATTATGAGCATCTCTGATGCTGTAGTCTGGACAGTAAGACTTCACACATATATTATCTCATTTCATTCTCATAATAACGGTGAATCACATAACAAATATTATTATTTTATAGATGAGGAAATGGAAGTTTAAAGGAGTTAAGTAATTTGCTGAGGGTCATACAACTACTAAATTACTAGACTGGATTTGAACAAAGGTTTGTTACATTCCTAAAGTCCTAATAATGCTGTTAGCTGGGGGACATATCTCAAGTAACTTAACATAATACTCACACTGAAGTTTATCAAATATTAACGTGACAAACCTTTTTTTTTTTTTTTTTTTTGAGACAGGGTCTTTTTATGTAGCCCAGTTTGGCATAAAACTCTTGATCCTCCTGCCTCAGCCCCCTGAATGCTGGGATTACAGACATGCACCACCACACCATGCTCAAATCAATTTATTTTTAAAAGGCATATGAAATTTGACTTTGAGGGCCTTGAAAACATTTAAAGCAGCAAGGTAAGGTGGGATCTAATCACTCAGCTATGCAAACAAGTTCTAAGTAAACAAACCTGCAAAATTTCCAAACTCAAATAGTAAACCTAATTTTCTGTGCACTAAAAAAGTGAAATAACCTTCCAACTAAATCCACTATGGAGATAAGGTTTGAATACTAAAATTAATTCCATCACTGCCCCTAAACTCTACCCTACTTAGCCAAGGCATTAAAAACCTGTTGGGGCTTGAGATGGGAGCACCTGGCTCTATTCGCAGAACCTGGAATGCTTCTTCTGGTTGGGGCGGAGTGAGATCCATACCCACAGCGGGTTATAGTTTCCAAAGCACTTTCTCCTTTATTTGATCCTCACAACCACTCATAACCCAATTTGAAGGGAACTAGGGGCATTAATGCCAATGCTGGAGCGGACTGGCTGGTGACTACCGTCACTCAAAGGCTAGCCCAGACCTCTCTGGGGTTGGCAGACTGACAGGCCAAACTTCGGGGCCTTGGAGAAAGAAACCTTCAGGTGTCAGAAGAGACATTTGGAGAAGTTCACCTTCCTCATCTTGAGGACCTTCTGCCAGTGCGAAGAAAAATAGGGGTGTGCCCCCAAAACCACGAACACCCTTGGTAGTAGGTGGGGAGCCTTCCTGGTTTGGACCAGGCCTCCGCGTGCACTAGACACAGACCGTCCCCCTCTGAGGCCCAAAGTAGCCTCACAGCAACCCTGGAACCTCTTGAGGCTAGGTCATGTCTCCCCGATACCTAGGGGCACGGGTCACCTTCCGGGGCCTCCCTCCCTTAAAACTCGAGATCAGCCCCAGTCTCCAGGTTGGGGCGCGGTCCCCGCCCCACCCCCTCCGAGGCTCGGGTCATCTCCCTCTGCCTACTGCAGGAGGACAAGGGTCCTCTTCCCTGAGGCCTGGTGGCCCGAACCCGGGTACGCGCGCGCCGGTAGGGGTGACGGGGCAGCGACAGTCCCGCCCGCCCGCTTGTCCGCCTGTCCCGAGATCAGGGTGCAGCCCCGGTCCGAGCGCGCTCCTCACCGGGTCCCAGAGCCTCCATGGCGGCGGCGGGGGCCGCCTCGTCCCGGTCCCCGGCGCCTCCCGCTCCGGGCCCCGCCGCCGCCGCCGCCGCCGCCGCCGCCGCCGCGTAACGCTTGATCTCCGGAATATTGGCGCTGGAGCGGCGCCGCGGAGACGCGGGCGCAGGGTAGGGGGCGGCGGCGGCGCCCGGCCCGGGGACAGGGACCCGGCTCTCGCAGTTCTTCCGGCCTCAGCGACAACAAAAACAATCCCCGCCGTCGCCGCCGCTGCCAGCGGGAGCGGGAGCGAGAGCGGGAGTCAGCGCGCGCTCTTGCCGGGCAGGGAGGGGGCGCCGGTGCGCGCGGCCCGAGGTCCCGGCTGGCGGAGGGGGCGTGCGCGGCCCCGGGCGCGGGGTTCACCGAGCCCGGCCGGGGGTAGGGGGCGGGGTGCGGCGGGGACGGGCGCGCGCCCGGAGGGGCAGTACCCAGAGGACGTGTCGGGCGCGCGCCCGCCGGCCCTCTCTGCCGTATCTGCCTAAGGCGGCCGTCCCCCCCAAACACAAACGGCCCTTGGGAGGTGGGGGTTCTGTGTGCGATCATGTGCGCTGCGACCCTCGAAAGATCTGATTACTTCCAGTGTTTGCAGTTCTCCACTTCTGTCTATGGAAAGTGTCCTGACAGTTACATCAGGAACCTGACCTCCCTCCTCCCACTTCAAATCGCTTCTTTCTCCTCTTTCTCTTCCTGGGACAGAGAACACTAGGGTCACCTCAGTTGCACCAGTTCTCCTTCATTCCTTCATCCAACAGAACACATCCAGTCACCCTTCCTTCCCCATGTACGGAAGGCACATTCTCTCCCTGGTCCCATGACAAGCATCTCTGGTCAGCAAGTCACCAGTCAGTCACCTTAGCAGCCAAGAGCCAAGGGAGCTGCCCTCTCCAAGGTAGCATGGTCAGGCCAGCAGGCCCAGTATCCTTAAGACTTTCACTTTGGACTTGGAGTTGGACAGGGGAGGACCACAGGCCAAGAAGCAGCTTCTATTCAGCAGAAAGAGGGAGTCCTACCCCACAGAGTACCACAGAGTGCGTGGCTTACACAACAGAAATTTGTTTTCTCTCAGTTCCGGAGGCTAAGAGTCTAAGATCAAGGCGTTGGCAAGGTGAGTTTCTTCTGAGATTCCTCTCCTTCACTTGTAGGTGATGTCTTCTCCCATGGTCTTCACATGGTCTTTCCTCTGTACTGTCTGTCCAAATTTCCTCTTATAAGTACACTAGTCATATGTGTTCATTAGGGTCCATCCTAATGACCTCATTTTAGCCTAATAACCTCTTCAAAGACCCTATCTCCAAATACAGTCCCTTTCTTAAGTACTAGAGTTAGGACTTCAGGACATGAATTGCTGTATTGCTGGGGGAGGTGGCAAAATTTAGTCATTCCATGTGTAGTGAGACACTCATTTGAGTACCCTACTTTTCTATATAGTAATAAAAAAGTTAAGGTCACACCATGGTCAGGGACTATATTCAGGCTTCACATGTCATTTAATCTTCACAACCACCTGTAAGATAGATATTATCAAGAAAAGCATTTGTACACATGAGGTAAGGAAGGCCCAGGGGAGTTCAATAAGTCAGACTCTACATTATTTGATGCTGCAATGAAGCTGGAAGTTCTAAATCCAGCAGTGGAGTCCTGGCTGATCCCATCTCTGACTGGCTAGCCAATTAAAATTTTAATCTAGTTACTAGAGTCTAATCTACTAATACCATAGTTTATATTCTTCCCACACTATCATGTGACCTCTCTATTAAACCAGACACCAACTGGGAACCATAATAGAGGGCAGAAAGTTGGAAAGGGAGAAAATATTCACTAAATGAAGACTAGTATACAACTAAGAGGAAAAGAAACACCAACTAGAGCTTAAGTTTTGAGTTAAATCTAGTAGCCACCTCCCTTCTCCACCCCAGAACTAAGTTCCTCACACAATTTAACTAATGCTGGTGGCTCAAATAGCCTGGTTTGAGGCTGGCTCCTAGCCCCACTTCCTAACAAATTTTCTCCTTATTCTGTTTGATATCCTGAGCAGAGATACCAAACAAGACATGGTATCTCTCTGGCTTGTTCTCTGGATTAAAAATTGTGTCACCACCAAGCCTTGAAACTGGAGTATGAAATGTGCAATATTTACCCATGGTTCCAATCAGAACTGCAATGTCTCACTCCCTCAAGTCTCTCAATTCTGTCATTCTTGACCACTCTGATTATCTCCATTCTCATTTGCTCACTCACTGTCACTCAGGCACTGTTGCCCCCTTCCCAGAAACAGTTCCTACTGAGCCCTACAAAACCAAACTTCTGTAGTCGATAAACTTCCCTAACCCTTGATCTGTTTAGCAAGCCCTTCCTCTACTTCCTGCTGTGGCAGAGAAGGAGCCATGCCCCAGAATACCACTTCCCCTTCAGCTCTCTCTGACAATAGCTAGTCATCCTCCTACACCCCATGCACCTCCAGGATAGGAGAGATGTATACAGGGATGTAGAGAATTGACAGTATATTTTCCCCCATTGCACCAAAATTTGAATCCTATTAAACCCTTCACGATCTAGCCAAACCACTCCAGGGGCCTCCCTTGGTGGTATAATTAGCTCCCAGTCTTATGTCTCAGTCCAGGCTTGGCTCCCACTGTACTGTAAGTCCTTGAAGTCAGAGTTCATACCTTATTCAGGCTGGTGGAGTGGCTCAAGTGATTCAGTGCCTTCCCAGCAATTGTGAGGCCTTGAGTTCAAACTCCATTATTGCAAAATATATACATATATTATTCAGATATTCAGATTTGTGTCTCTGCTGGCTAATAACCTATCAGGCATCAAATGTTCTTTAGGGGAAATTTGTGGAATGAATAAATGAATGAGTGAGCAAGTGAATGTGTGAATGGTAGAAGCTAGAAATGTCCAATGGAGGGGTCTAGGTGAAAATCTTGAGTGAAGTCCAAGCATCTCTAGAGTACACTTTTGAATCACATCGTCCTGGATTCAAATCCTACTAACCAGTTCTAAGTCTCCCTGGCATGTCCCTCACCCTCTCAAGGATGTCTAGAGAAGGAGGTTAAATCCTGTGCAGGTGTGTCTGGTACAGAGTAAGCAGGAGCCAAATGGTTACTAATTCTCCTTCCTTCTTTCCCTTCCCCTGACACAATGCAGTTCTCTCTGCTCCTCCGAGGCCGACTTGCTGTCCCTCGAGAGACATTGAGCTCAAGATCTCTATTCAATGCAAGAGAGTTGAGCAGAGCCATCAGAGACTAAGCATGTTTACACAGTCTATGCCTGAGCCACTTAAGGAAAAGGATTTGGTTCACTCATCTGGAGACAAGAGCAGGCACAAAGAACATACCTGTTTAAGGTTGATGAATGAAGTGAAACTTCTGAATGTGTACGTGTCAGTGCACTCCTGAGAGCACAGAAGGAAGTCTGTTCCAGGGGGAGCTTCACTAGTGGACCCTGTGCCCAAACTCAGGCATCCTTTTTTAAAAATTTTTTTCAGTGGGATTGGGGTTTGAACTTAGGGCTTCTTTAGCCACTCTGCCAGCCCATGCTCAAACTTAGGCCTCCAGCAACCAGCGCTGCTTGTGGCCCTGCAACTCTTGTTTTGGCCACTGGTCTGTTGATGTGTTGACTCTCCAGCCTCTCTTTATACCAGCTTTCCCCAAAGTCCAGTGCTTAGAAGAGGAAGAGGAGCTTCTCTGCAGTTGACTGTATGGGTCAGGGGCTTTCACTTTTCTTTAGCTAGGGAACCCCTTACTCAAAAATCTTAAATAGAAATTAAAGTGGAGCCATTTTGACTAAGGGGAGCAGGGACCTGCTTTGAATACCCAACTATACCAGTTTGACAAGTGCCACCACCTGGCATCTACCTATCTGCTCCTACTCCATGGACAGCCTTGCTCTTTTGTATTTTTTAAGGGTTACAATTTAGTGGCTTTTTGCATATTCACTAGGTGCCACTATCACCACTATCAAATTCCAGAACATTTTCATAACCCATTAGCAGTTCCTCCCCACCCCCTTCTCCTCCACCAGCCCTGGAAACCACTACCCTACTTTCTGTCTCTATGGATTTGTCTTCTCTGGACATTTCATGTAAATAGAATCATATAATATATGACTTTTGCATTTCTTTCACTTGGCCTGTTTTCAAGGTTCATCTGTGTTTAGCATGTATCAGCACTCCAATGCTTTTTATGCTCATATTCCATTGTATGGATATGTCATTTTATTTATCCACCTCATCAGGTGGTGAGTAATTAAATTGTTTGCATTTTTGGCCATAATACTATTGTGAACCTTGGTGTATAAATTTTTATATGGACATAAAATTTCAATTCTTTCATATATAACCGAGGAATGAAGTAGCTGGGTTGTATGGTGACTCCATGTCTAACTTTTTGAGGGACTGCCAAACCCTCAGTGGCTACATCATTTTACCTTCCCACTCATAGTCTATCAGGGTTCTAATTTCTTCACATTCTTGCCAACACTTGTTATTTTTAGATTTTTTTTTTTTAAATGTAGAATGATCTTTGTGGGTGTGAAGTGGTATCTCACTGGGGTCTGGGTTTGCATTTTCCTAAGAGCTAATGATGTTGAGCATTATTTATGTGCTTATTGACCTCTTGTGGAACTTCTTTTGAGAAATGTCTGTTCATATCCTCTTCCCTGGGTTCTTTTATTATTATTATTATTATTGAGAGAGAGAGAGAGAGAGAGAGAGAGAGAGAGAGAGTTCTTTACATTCGAGATACAAGTGCCTTACCAGATAGATGAGTTCAAAATTTTACTTTGTGGATTACTTCACTTTCTTTATGGTGTCCTTTGAAGTACAAAGTTTCCTAATTTAGATGAAGTCCAGTTTATTTTTTAAATTGGTTATTTTCTTTCTTCCTTCCTTCCTTCCTCCTCTCTCTCTCTCTCTCTCTCTCTCTCTCTGTCTCGCTCTCATTTTCTTTCTTACACAGGGCCTCCCCTTTTAGCTCAAGCTGCCCTGGAACCTGCAATCCTCCTTCCTCTGTCTCCCGAGTCCTGAGATTACAGATGTGCTCCACCACACCTGACTGAAGATGTGGATTTAACACAACCCTCTTTCTTCTTCCATTCTCCCATTATGGTTATATCACTGTCGTGATTTAGATATAGCTTGTCCCTTCTAAAACTCATGTTGAAATACAATGCCAATACAGGATTGAGGTGTTGGGGCCTTTAAGAAGGATTAATGCCTGTCTTGAGGGAAGGATTAAGCTCTCGGGAGTGGGTTAGGTACTGTAACATGAGGCTGCCCCTCATGTTTTGTCTCTTCCACATGCACCTACTTGCTCTTCCACTTTCCCTAGAGGAAATGAAGTAGTGTGAGGCTCATCAAG